TGGTGAGAAGCCAGACGACTGCAAGTAACTGCAGTAATCCTGCTTACATGTGGCAGTGAGAAATCATGACTTTACTTAGGATGAGCTAAAGTTTAGGGTATGGTAATATATTAAGTAGAATTTCATAAGAATCTTGAGGTCAACACAGAGGTGAGGCACCTGCCTATACCTAAGTACTCAGGGGAAAATAGTTAATGAGCAATTACCCCAGACACTGAGTAGATGTGATGGTGAATGTCTTTGTCAGCTTGACCTATCAGGGAAGAAGGAACATAAACTGGGGAAGTGCCTCCATTACATTAGCCTACAGACATATCTGTGGTGCATTTTCTTGATTGATGGCTGATGTTGGAGGGTACAGCCCACTGTGGGCAGTACAACCCCTGAGCATGTGGTCCCAGGCTGAATAAAAAAAAAATGTAGCTGAATTTGAGACTTGAAGCAATTCTATAAGCAGAGTTCCTCCTGCCTCAGCTTCCCTCATTAACATGCCAGAGTACATAAGCCAAATAAACTGATTCTACCACCAAGCTGCTTTTGGTTGTTTTATCACAGCAACAGAACACGAAGTAGGACTGAGTGATGAATGTTGTTTAGGCCAAGAAACAAGTCACAATAAGGAATGGTCCACTCAGTCCAGAGCTGCAGGATGCTGGGTAAATAAAGGACTAAAACTGGGATATGCCCTATTTGCCAACAGGGAGATCTGGGGACCAAGACAACTGTCACAGCAGAACTGTGAGGACAAATCCTCAAAGAGAAGGAAGGAAATGGAAGGACTATTAGGAGCTCTTTCAAGGTTTCAATAAAGGAAGAGAATGGGCTTGTAGGTGAAAGAGAACAGAAGACTCTTCCAGATCAGATCTTCCACTACTGGGAATGCTGGTAGGATGGCTCACAAAGTCACATGCCCAGTAAGGAGAAACAACTGCTATGCTATTGAATTCAGCCTGTTCTCCCATGGTCACTCTCAGAATTCAGAAGACTGCAAAAGAGGCAGAGATATAATTTTTCTACACCAAGTAAATTGGCCAACTCAAGCTTTCTGACAGATCCCCATGGAGCATGCACGGTAGATGACATGGGTCACCCCAGACTATCAGAACCCTAAGCCCTACACACATCCTAAGTTTACAGCAGGATAAAATTATTACCAAGGACAAGTATTATTCTGGCAGAAACTACACACAGCAAGCAACAAACTATTCTATAATAAACTAATTGTCTATCTGGCATGAAGTGTGCCATGCCAGCCAAAGCCATCAAGGATGTTGAGGGAAACACAATGGGATCATCAAAATGAAAGACAAAGCATCCAGTACAGCATTTGAATGTAGGAAAGAGTCATCTGGGAAACTCAACTATGGGATGGATAAAGAGATGGAGAAAAAGGCTTTTCTGAATGCTGAAACTAAGGTGGGAAAGGTGCTGCTGGACAATAGGCTGAGACAGAGGCAAAAAAGAACAGTCCAACTAAACTGTCAGGATGCAGCAGGCTGTCCATACAGGAACCACTAGAGCGATGAAATGCTCAAGAGTGCGCAAGTGCTACAAGCTCTGCAAATACAGCAAATACAAAAGTAAGAACACAAGTTCACCTAAGCACCTGGGCCTCGCCCTCTTGCTATTTCCTAGAAACAGGGGTCCTACCCCTACCATCTGCTGCTACCTCATTAGCAATAGGCTCCTGTTTCTAAATAGAAACCAGCCTTCTCTCCCTTAGACACATTTCATATTTTTCGTGTGCTCTCAACAAGCCAGGAGGGACATCAATAATGGTAATCTGTGGTTTCCTTAGTTTTAAAAGCTGTCTACAATTGATGATTAATCTGGTTTGATTAATCTTTAAGTCCAAAGCAGAGGTTCTCAACCTTCCTAATGCTTTGACTCTTTAATACAGTTCCTCATTTTGTGGTGACCCCTAACATAAATTATTTCTTTGCTACTTCATAACTGTAATTTTGCTACTACTATGAATTGTAATGTAAATATCTAGTATGTAGATATCTGATATGTAACCTTCAATGGGGTCCCACAGGTTGAGAACCACTGGTCTAAAGTAACAGGTGCTCAATCTAACAAGGTAGGCCATAAAGCAGTATCTATCTTCTTGGGCTTTCAAACATAAGGGCTGGGAGACCTTGGGTCAGCAGCTGCACTAGGCAAAGAGACTCTCACACTAACCAGCAGTACCAAAAAATGGGCCTGAGTATCAAATGTCTTTCATGGTTTAATGGTACAACAAGAAACAGCAACTCTGACATTTTCAAACTCTTACTTTCAAATAAAAAATGTTTAGTATTGTTTGTATTTTCCAAACAAATGTCTTAGCAAATCTGCTCTCAGAAGTCAAGTTAGATTTAAGACTGGAAATGAACTCCTCTCACTTGTCCCACTGTATAGTGCATAAAGGGAGGTGTGGGGATGGAGGAAGTTCGCCTCTTTCTAGTTAGTTCCTTCTGGTTTAAAAAAATCACACTGACCTTTGACCTGACTCACTTGGCCGCCCTAAAGGAAATGTACACAACAAACCCAACCATTTCTGAGTAACAAGAAGGGCACAAAAACAGATTTTTTTGAGTGTCATCATCATCATCATCAACGGGGCAAATTAAGTGGCCATAAAAAGTATTCAAAATATTGATACCCCCACACACATATTCACAAGAGTCACAAGTTTATATTCTGAAATCTGTCTGTGTCACAATGAACAATCTTGGGCAAGCTCCTGACTCTTGTGTGAATTTGCCTGTAACTGAGACACATAAGATTCCCAAATATGGAGGCTTCAACTGTGGTTGTTGTAGGAAGTCCTTTTGTCTTTGGTTGTAGGAATGCCATGGAGCCACCAGAGACAGACATGCTCAATCTTTCCCGGTAAGTCACTGCCACGTGGCGATATACAGATTAATAGAAATGGGTTAAATCAAGATGTGAGAGTTAGCCAATACGAGGCTAGAACTAATGGGCCAAGCAGTGATTTAATTAATACAATTTCTGTGTGGTTATTTCGGGGCTAAGCTAGCCAGGCGGCCTGGAAGAACAAGTGGTCCTCTCTCCATGCAAAACAACTGCATTGAGCAGGGAAAGTTGACTGCTATCATGAAAGATCTAGAATATCAATGCTCAGAGATGTCTACTGGGGAGGGGGAACAGGATTCTTTGAAGAGAAACAAAAAAGATACAAATCATGACCCAACTCGTTTTCACTCTGCTATACAGAATCTAAGGTATCTGATATTTGTAAGTAACTGTTAATAACACACACACACATACACACACACACACACACACACACACACACACACGTAGATAAGGTATATCATTAGGGCAATTTCCTTAAATAAATAGCATCTGTGTAACAACTGAGCAGATCAGAATGTCACATTACTAGTAACCTAGTGCATCTTCATGGCTTACCAGCCTAGCTTGTTACTACGAATTTGTTTTCAAAGCATTCAACACACAAACACAGACACACAAAAAAATTTGTTTTGAAAAAATAAGTTTTTAGTCAGTCTCACTATATAGACTAGTCTCACATGGCTAGCCTTGAGACCGGCCTGCTGCCTCTGCCTCTCTAGTGCTGGGATTAAAGGTTTGAGCTACTACATTCTTTATGAATGCAACTATGCAGCATGCTTTACTTCATTTTAAGGGGATAATAATTTTATTTTGAAGAAGAGGTGGGGTATAAAAAGTTCAGTTTACTATACTTAAACTCAGATAGTTTTCTTGCTTTTTGGGCCCTCTATAATTCTTGACTACTTCTCAGGTGGGCTAGCCAAAAGACAAAAAGTTAGATGAGGAACACATATTGAGACCCCAAAGCTCTAGATCACTTACCTTCTGCAGACCCTCTCATGTTTGCAAAGGTGGAGTCTGGTTCACTTGCCTTCAGCTGTGCGGCCTGGGTTTTGATGCCTTTGTTTTTGTTCTCTTGGGATTTCTTCTTCCCTGAAACACAGCATTTATCTATTTACTTTCATTAACGATTACTCTGATCCTTGAACGATTATTAACCGAAGCAAAGTCAACTGTATTTATAGGCAATTCTAAAGAAAGGAATGAATGATTGACTATGAGTACCATCAAATCCTGTCAGAGGAAAAAAATTCATAAGTTCTACATTTTTAGGCACTTGGTCCTTAGTTTCATGGCTATAATAGGTATCAAATTAATGAACAATGTATTCTCAAATGTTACTAACAGGCCAGGTTGTGGTGGCAGCATATGCCTTTACTTCCAGCACTTGGGAGGCAGAGGCAGGCAGATCTGATTTCAAGGTCAGCCTGGTCTACAGAGCAAGTTCCAGAATAGCCAGAGCTACACAGAGAAACCCTGGCTCACCTCCCCGCCACCAAATTAAATAATAATGATATAAAAGAAACTTCAGAATCAATGAAGTTTGAAATCATATAAATAATATGAGCAAAGGCATACTGGAGAGAAACAGTAAGGTATTACTTAAAACCTTTAATTAGTGAAGATAGGATAAGCTGTAACTGCAGCTTCTACTTTATAAGTAAACATTTGCACTGCATTACGAAGGATAAACATGGCTCCAACATCAAGTGCAGAGGAATCAGGAATAATTTCAGTCAGCATAGCCCTTATTTCATTAACAACATGGGGAGAGGCACACACAGTTCAGGAAATGCTAACTGCATTCTAAGTGATCCCAAACTATAGAAGGCTAAATTAAAGCATGGCATTTACTGAAAAGTTACAAGGAACTGAATCCCCAAAGGAACACAGGTGAGAGCACCGTAGGACTGACCCCAGACTGGTAGTCAGTCCAGGTGAGGTCAAGCCCCTTCCCCAGCACTCTCCTCTCTTCCAGCACTGCTCGCACCTCCCAGCCCCAAACCCCGGAAAAAAAAAAAATATTTTCTTGCTTTTCACGAACAAGCCTCCTACCACCTTTATATCCACCTCAGCTGAAGACAGACAAGAAACCACCCATCACTTGCAACTCAGGGAAATCACATTTGACAGTCTCAACAGCAGATGATCACAAGAGGAATGGTCAGCTAAAATGAAGACAACTGATATCAGAAACTCAAAATGGCATAAAACGAAAGTACAGAAATCAACTATAAATTAAAGTACTAACTAAAAACATTTTGATAAAAGTTTAATAGATATAACAAGAAAACAAACTACACGAAACAAGTCGTTTGTTCGTCTTCAAAAGGAAAATCCTAAAATAATCATTTTAAGTGCCTAAATCTTTAGCCAGTAAGAAAACAGGCTTGGGTTTGTTTTGTTTGGGAGAGACAGGTTGTTCTTGCAACTGTATGATTAGAAGTTCCTTACAGTACGCCCACATATTCTTTTCCACCTGCAGCTGACATGGCTTGGAACACAAGCACACATGACCAGAAGCACCACCACTCTGGTATGAACCAAAGTCAAAGGGCAGAGGATCATGGCAATGGTGACCCCATCTCCAGGTGAAGAATCATACTAATCGGCACCACACGAGGCAGACTCCCGTCTCTACCTTACAGTGCTATGGCAGACACACAGGCACCTTCCACAGAGGGAGGGAGGCTCTCCGGACGCCCTGCTGGATTGACCTTACACTGTTAACTTCTGACAAAGGCTCTTGAAGGATCTGTGCTGAACAGAATCTGCACTCTTCCCCTTTCAATAGTCCTTATCCTCAATGTCTATGTCCTTCCTGTGTGTGATGTTCAGTCTGAATGAGATTAGTAACTCCCAACAAAACGCATGCCAGTCACACACACAAACACAAATGACAATCTGACGATGCGATGCAGTAGAACTGCTCCACTGTCACAGGCCAGAAGCGGAACCTTCAGACAGTGCACTCAAAATTCAGGTACAGAGGTGTTTTCCTAAAAAGTACTACTACTAGTACTTAGTATAGTCAGTACTACCCCATGTCCTCAAGCAGGCTAAGAAATGGGTATGACCCTTTACTATAACTGTCTACAAGTTTTTAAACAGAGAACTGTAATCTCAACATGGCCTCTGCAATAAGCTTCAGAGACATTAGAAATAAAAGCATACTGTAAAATTTACTACAAAAGCAGGAGTCAATCTGTTGACCAGAATACATTGTCAAGGCAATTCAAAGATTTGACAATCCAAGTGCTGTCCCATGCCCAAGGAGCACAAGTAGAAACATGAAGCAAACCAGGCATATGGAAAACATTAAATATGCTTCCATTATAATAAAACCTGCAGTGTGATACACTCAAAATGTAGCTGTTTAAGTATGTGAAAGACAAATGCTATTTACATTGTATTCCCCGACTTAAAAAACAACAAACCAAAACACCACTAAAACAGCTAGTTCCTACCACATGTCCATTTCTGGGCTCCTCAACAACAAGTTACTTTTTTCACCCTAAAGCCACAGTAGGACATGCAAACCATTGTGAGGACAGACCACATGAGGACGAGTACCTCCTGAACCTTCTTCAGAGGATGAACAAGAGCACACCATAGTCACAAACAGAGCAATTAGCCTGACTTCAAGCATAGCACAATGACTCTCAATTCAGTCACAATTCTGTCGTGAAGAATGCTGACTGACCAGAGCACGTTTCACTGCATCTTGCAGGGTGGCAGGGGCACTCTACTCACAAGATTCAGCAACAATGCCCCCTTTCCCAGTGTGACAACCTAAAACTCAGAGCACAGCAAAACCTCCCCTGTTCTCTGGGGGAGCTCTCTCAAATGTCAGAGTACTGGACTCTACCAATGTATTAGACTTGAGATCACAACACACATACAGGAATCTGTGATCTATACATTTATTAAAATTATGCAATTCTATAAATGAAAAATGATACCGCCAAGGTAACTTAGTGAACAATGGATTATGTGGCAACAGGAAATCTAGTAAGACTATCATTTGCTCAGGGAGCTAGGACTAACATCTAAAGTTTCGCAATCAGAACCATTTATCAAGATACTTCTCCTGAGGTCCTCTGACTAGAGATGAAGGGGCTACCAGAAAACCATATGCCTGTCCTATTAGAGTGCTATTTTATGAGAGAAACTGAAGGCTTGAACCCAAAAGACAAATACACTTGTGACAAATTAATTCTGCTCCCACTTATTGTGAGAAACTGTTTGTTATCACACACCAGCACTGTTGGACAGATGGGACCTGCCATATTTCCTTAATCAGAAAAGTTCTCTCCAGGTACTTGGTTTCTGTCTGCTACATCAAAGAGATTACAAGAGAAAACACAATAACTCATCAGAACTTCAAGGGGACAGAGGACTTGTAGCTTCTATCTCTGAAGTAAGAGGTACCACTGGGTGTTTGGCAAGTACACGAGTGCACTTACCAGGGGCTCCTGCAGGGTCCTACATGGCGCTACTGCCAGCTGGCTGCTCCACTTGGTCTAGACAAGAAAGATACAGGAATGAAACATGAGGAAAGTGAAATGGAAATGGCCCCAAAGAATAGCATGAGGGACAATATCTGATGTGCTGAGGGGAAGGAATGTGCACATAAAGACGAAGAAAAAAAAGGCAAAGAGCAATTATCTACTACATCAAATCTATCACATACAAAAAAAAAAGTTGCTGAAGTTAGGACCAATGTATTAGGTTGTCAGACCTGTATCATGCCTATGTTATATGACACCACGCCCATACCATCTAGGGGCCATTCTTCTAGAACTCAAAGTACCAACTTATGCCTCTAATATCATAGAGGCACCCACAGATCAGAGGTGGGAGGTGTCTACCCAGGCCTTTCAACTACACACTCAGGAGCTAGAATTAGTGACGACAATACCATTCAAAGTGCTCTTTCAGTCTCTTGCTGCCATTTCATAAAAGCTCAGTGATGGCTCAGTCAGCACATCCATCCCTAGCCTGATAAATGAAGCTCCTATACACTGAGCATAAGGACAGCAGCTGGAAATAAGCACTCTTCCATTTTCATTCTACCCTGACATCACAAAGTATCAGTCAACCACACAGAACCCTGCTCAGAACAAACATGATTGATTCACCAAGGAAACAGGCACTTCTAGTCAAACAGCTCCATATAAAGACATATAAACAACAGTTGTAATGGCTGCTTTCTTAGACAATAGACAGTCTTATACTGCTAGCACCCAGGGTGGGAGTTACAAAATCAAAACTGCTTAGGGCAGCACATGAATAATTTAACCCAAATCTGGTTTATGTTCTAACTATTCAAATAAACTAGACAAACAACAGGAAACTCTACATCTAAGGAATGTTTCACTTAAAGATGTTTAATCAGCACAACAGGGAAGCACACCCTGTGTGCTGTCTCCTTACTGGGGAGCTAGCCATCTCTTCAGTATCAACAGAATTAGGACAACACAGAGGCCATCCTCAGACTCTAAATTAGACAGTCAGGACTGCCTGTGAGACTCTGCACTTTGCCATGAAAGGTCAGTGAAGGTCTGAGCAGCCCTGAACAGAATCAGAGGCCATCAAACTGGACTGTCTGCTGCCTCTAGTCCTCACCATCCAGCCAGCCCTACCTCCTAGCAACTTCTGTTCCTGCCACTCCAACAAAATCCATTTCTCATGGATCTCACTGACGTTATACTTTCAAGTTCAGAGTTCTTCAGTTTGTCTTCTCCTGAAGACAGAGGGGAAAGTGTGATCCTCCACTGTCAGGATTCCTCTTCCCAGTCTCACAGCACTGCCATCCAGACTCTCCACCCCCGGTTCTGTCTGTCTGTCTTCTGTTCCTAGGAAATCTGAAGACTGGAACTATGCTGTCATAGGAAGTTACAGAAAGACTCCAACACACACCGAGAGCTAGGATGAGGGGCACAGAGGCTCAGTGAACACATCACGGGAGATGGGCGTGGGAGAAACTGAGCTGCTATAGTAAAGGTGAGAACCACCATAACACGATGGAGCAGGAGAACTCTGAAAACTATCCAGTTTCCCTAACCTCAAAGGCAGCTCTAAACTTTACATTATTATATGACTACCTCAAGACACAACACATCAAGTCAGTACCCAATCTGGAACTTCAAGTCCCATGCAATTTTCCCCTCCATCCTCTGTGTTCCAGGAAGCCTGCTAATGGTATTTTCTGGGTTCTAATTTCACTCTTAAAAATAAAACATAAGACTCCTTCTGTATCTCAAGCAAATTAAAGCACTTAAGTTCATTATACTTTTTTTTTAATTTTTTACATTTCTGTAAGGAAAAGATAGCTGTGCACTGACTGAGGAGTACTCAGGACATGACTGAGATACAAGCTTAGGTTCCAAAAACCAGAAAAAAAGGTTTACCTGGGAGAAAGCCAAGTACATGCTTCAGTAAGACTGTTAAAGCTAAACCCCCCTGTGATCGTGTTAATAAGGTAGAAGAATAAATAGATAGAGGCAATGCTGACACCTCGAATAGTCAGTTATTTAAGACAGTAGTGGGCAGGAAGCGACAAAGTATCAACCCTGTCTTACCCTGGAGGTGGTCTAAAGGTCTACAGTGGGTATGGAGACAGAGAAGCACTAGAAACACATATGAAACTAAGTTCTCCACAAAGGATCCCAGCCCATTGCAGTATCTGTGTACCTGTCGGCCACCATAAGTGACTCAAGGGAGAATCAGGAAATTGCAATAGCAGAACTGATGAGGACCAGTGTCTGAGACACTGTGCCTGCCCAGAAGGGCTTCTGCAAGTCACGAAGCATCACACCCTGGCCCTGGTACCAAAGTCAACAGTGGCCATGACACGCAGTCACCAGGGAGGAGGTCCTGTCAGTCATGATTATGCCAAAAAAAAAAAAAATTCATGAGTGGGTGACTTCCAAAATGAAATACAAGCAAAAGCAAAATTAATGAGATAGAATTAATATTTCTGTGGGTAAGACTGAAATACACCATTTTTAATCCTTTGGCAAACATCTCTACTTTTCATTTTGAACAAATCATATGTTCTCTCCCTCCGACTTGTATACCCAACAAAACTGTTCAGAATAAAAGCATGTTCTTTGTTCTTGTTGCACTGCTCTTTAGTTATTACACCTATCATTATCTAGATGAAATACCCACACTAAAACGATCGTGCCGAGTGCCTACTGATAGCAGAGAGGGTCCTGGACTTAGTCATCAGCTAGAATGCGAGTCATGTTAACTAGCTTTTATTTGCATTTCCTAAAACTCCTCAAGTAGGCCACTGGCTCCACTATGTTTAGACAGAGGGCTACAGACACAGGATCCCTTACAGAAACACAAAATCATTTTGTCTCATGGCCCTATTATGGAGTAAGGCACTTTGTTCTAGCCCAACTGCAATAACAGAACACCATCATTGCTCAACCTGATCCTATCTCTGGCATGTTAGCAGTCGTCAAGCCGCCTTCATGCCTGTCTGTTACCCTATCACAACTAAAGTACAGCACATCATTGCCTCAACAGGAATCTTGGCCATGTTCACCTCAGCAAGACAAAGCATTGGGACACACGAGAAAGCGTGTCACAATTATTTTCAGATTATAGAATACATTGAAACTCAGTTTTCCTATAGTTCTCCACCTAAAATCAGAGTTTGTCTGATTTATTTAATAATACATATTCTCAGATGCACCAGGAAATCAGCACAAGCTTGTTCTTTGCAAGTTTAAAAGGTCTTTTTTTCTGCTTTTTCCTCATTTCATAAAGGTTCTAATGCAATTGCAGAGAGACAGTTTGATGATTTTCTTGGGTGCTATTAGCTACAGGACACTATTAGAAGCCACAAAAAATACAAATATATTACTACTGAGAGATCTTCCATGAAGGAAGTCAGAGCCCTCCGCAAAACAACCTACTGATAACAAAAAGCCAAATGTGTAGAAATGTGTGTTCAAGAGTATTTGTAGTTCATTGAAAAGGGGAGGTTTGGCTGGAGGAAGGAGGACAGACAACGGAGGGAAGGGAAGGAAGTAGGGGCTGTTGAAAAGACTCAGGAGGCCAGGCAAGGCAAGGTAAGCAGCTCCAGAAGTGACAGTAGCTCTAACAGGTTCCAGCACTGGTCTCAGGGATTATCCCACACCATCGTCAATAGATATTTCTTATTCTGCCAAATCAGGAGGGTAAAAGAGTACCAAGAATGGGAGGACAGTTAAGATTAAGAATTGTCAGAGCTAGGTTTAGAGTGGGGAGGGGCCTCTCGAAGGCCAGTGCTAATGACTGAGGAAAGGGGTGTATCTCATTCTCAACCCAGTTTCAAACGTCACCTGCTCCTAAGTCTTCAGCAAAAGAAACCCCAAACCTACATGAAAGTACTGCACCACAGCCCATGACCTGAGAAATAAGAACTGTTGCAAGCAATCAATCGCCTGGGTGCATGCTGGTGGTCTAGCAAGATGACACTAACACCAAGAGGCAAGCAAGATCAAGCATACAGAGGAAGTCACTCACAGACCCTGAGAACAGATCATCTAAAGGGGACTCACAACAGATTCCACTCAACAAAACGTGGAATTCCCCACACTTGGAAGTCTAAGCTGCAAGCCTATGTTCCTTCTTAAGCATCCTCTAGCAAATTTCTCCATCAGCCATTTGTTTTGTTCATTAGTTTTACACTGAACAGGAACCCAACCTGATATAATTATGACATGTACAAATCTAATGCAGCAGGAGAGAAAAAAGAATCCCATACTCATTAATGCTCCATCAATGCATGCCAAGGCCCTACCAATACAAGATACAAGTACATTCTATCTTTACAAGTATAAGATACAAGTACAGTCTACACTTACGGACTTTATTACTCTTCTTTTGATCTTTTTTTTTCTAACTTGACCATCTGTTTTACATTTATTTTAGTGTGTGAATGCATGTGTGTACATGATACGTGTGGAAGTCAGAGGACAATTTTTGGGAGCTGGTGCTTTCTTTTCACCATGTGGTTCCAGAGAATGCTAAAGTTATCAGCATTTTTTCTGCTGAGTCGCCTCTCTGGCCCTCAACCTAAGCTGTTTTGTTGTTGTTTTTATTAAACAACAATTTGAGTTTCACTTTCGTGGTTTTTAATCCTTAGGGAAGGATGTCTTGGACCCCTTTGAAAACCAGGTAAAACCGAAGGCCCCTCTCCCAAGTTAATCACACTGGACATAATCTCATTTTGTATCCACACACTAAGGTCTGGTTGTAAGTGCATGCAAGCACTGAGTATCCACAGAAGAACATGTATGTGTTCTCTAACTTCTCACAACTGTCAGATCCATTTGCTGCCCTTAAACCCAACTTTATCAGTAACTTCTGAGAGAGTGGTTCTTTACATCCTTGCATTTTCCTAACTTCACACCCAGAAAGAGAACAAAGAAATCTGAAATGTTTCCACAACTGCTTCATGGCTGTCCAATGATTTCAGAGAAAATGTACCTAAGCTTCATCCAAAATGTCTAATGCACTA